TCGGGTTCTTGAGGCTGACAGCTACAGCACCACGAAATGTTCTGGGGTCAGGAGAACTGCGTATCTTCGCCGCCCCACGTCCTGTCCACAGGGTGGAGCCGGCCTCAAGGCCTGGGTGTGCTGGTGTCCGCTCCCCTCTGCCCGCCATGGCTTTGCGCTGACCCTCCCAGCAGGGTCCCGGGGCAGCAGAAGCCCCGGATTAGAGCTGTGTTCAGCTCCCAGGCTGGCTGACAGGACCCAGAAAAGCTCAGCCCTCCCCTCCGCTGCTTCCCTCTTGCGTCGCTGAGGTTGGGCAGAGTGTCCCCCTGGCCTGGCTGTGCAGCTCCAGTGTTCGGGGCCCATTCCAGGTGTCTGAGGTGGTAAGAAGGACCAGTGCCCACCACGTGCTGAAGGTGGTGGTGGCGTTAGGCTGCGGAGAGCACGTTTGGGTAGGAAGAGGCTCTGTGCCCCCCAGACGCCCCCTCATCCCTCTCTCCCCCACCCTGGGGCGCTGTGCCCAGCTCAGAGGGCGCTGGACACACTCCAAGACACCAGGGCTCCCTGCTGCTTCCGGCCCTGAGGACTCAGGACTCAGGCCACCCAGCTTCAATGGCCCCCACCCCCCGAGATCCGGCCCAGGGGTGCCTTTGGTGGCCCCTCGTGCTGTGACGTTTTCTTCTAAGCAGTCAGTCATTGGGCAGTTATGGAGGGGTCCTTCCCCCCCTCCCCCCTCCGGGGCCACCAGAGCCCGGCCTCCCACTTGAGTGCTTTGGGACAGTGAGGTAACTTAGGAGCTGAGGGCAGGGGCTGGGGGGAAATTGAGGAGTCACCTTTTTAAAATATATATATATTTATTGATTTCAGAGAGGAAGGCAGAGGGAGAGAGAGATAGAAACATCCGTGATGAGAGAGATCATCAGCCAGCTTCCTCCTGCATGCCCTGCACTGGGGATTGAGCCCGCAACCCGAGCATGTGCGCTGACTCTGAATCGAACCTTGACCGCCTGGTTCATAGGCAACGCTCAACCACGGAGCCACGCTGGTTGGGCATCCAGGAAACTTCACAGCAGAGAGTGCCCTGAGGCAGACACCCTACAAGTGCTGGGAATTTCCAGAAAGTGAGACCCACACAAGTAGGATGGGGGCCTGGTATATTGTATTTGCAAGCTCCATTCTCCTCCCTCACCCCACACCTACCCAATCGTCTCTCTTGCTGTCTATCTCACCTGCCAGGATCTCCCAAGAAAAATCCTTTTGAAGTAAAGGGGTTCTGTTGCCCTGCCTGGCACCACCCGCCTGATCCCAGATGAGAAAGCAGTGGACAGAGGGGTGCTGCTTTCTCCTGCTGCCCCAGTGGCCTGCCTCCCGTTCACAGCGGTTGCCAAGCGCCTTGGGTTGGACAAAGTCCCCTGCAGGCCGAGGTCACCTCGAGCGCACTTAGGCTGTAATCACGGCCCTTCGAAAAGGCTCGAGTCGCTGCGTGACGCTGCCCCCGATCGGGCCCTGTAATTGGGATCCTGCCTTGTTTGGGGCTGAATGAAAAGAAAGTTTGCACCAGTGAGATGCCACATACCTCCCTCATCAGCTTCAGCGGGGGTGGGGGTGGGGGAGGCACTCTGGTCGTGACAGCAAGGTCAGCGGGAGGCAGGCAGGAGTGGAGGCGGCAGACGCAGGGGTCCCTCCCTCGGCAGAGCACCCGGCCGCCTCCGCTGGGCCGTGGCCTTGGAGAACGCCCACGGCCTTCCCAGGGTGTTGTTTTCTGGAAAAGCAGCTCTGTTGGCAGTGCCGTGGAAACTGAGTCGTGAAAGCTTACCTGGGCGGAGAGGCACGGAGCAGATTCTTTAGCTGCACGGACGTCAAAGGCTAAATGGTAACCCTACCTTCCATCTGACCGGCCGAGAGCCGGTGAGTCATCGGCATCTCGTGGCTGGGAACACAGAGCATCCTTCCCACGTACGGTCACTAGGATACTTGAGAACCTCCCAGACCTTGATCACGGTGTGCTGAGAGCAGCTTCACGCTCCCCCTCCGCCCCCCGCCACCTCCCTATACGTATATTCTGAAGACTACTACCCAGCAACAGAATTCGGATTGCTAAACATTTACTCCCTCCCGTAAGCGTAAGGCTGACTTTTCTAAGCCTCCCGGCCCCTTGTGACCCATAGACCGTGCCGTGAGTGGACGGGAGAAAGGAGCCCTCCTCGGAATCCTGGGGCCGCCCTAGCCCGGGCCTCTCTCTACCCTGCGTCCTTGTTCCTTTGACCAGCGGCGCCCTGAACTGTTGTGGGAGGGGGGGTGCCTGTGTCCGAGCTGCCTGTGGTTACACCGGGCACCGTCCAGGGGCTTCCGGTCTGAACCGGGAGGCCCACTGAGAAGTTCCCTGATGGAGGAAAAGGCAAGCGCAGAGGCCCTGAGAGCCACTCCAGGGAGGGAGGTGACGCGTGGGGAGATGGTGGCCAGAGAACGAGCTGATCTGCGGGTGACGGGCAGGCCTGGGAACCGGCCATCTGCCTGCAGGGGCCGGGCTGGGCCCTGAGCAGGTGGGAGGTTGCCTTGGAGGCCTGACAGCCCTCCCAAGTGGGGCGGTGGGCCTGGGGCAGCCGGGGCCACAGGGTAGGTTGGCCTGGCCACCTCAGGACACTGAGAAACGAGCAAGTCCAACTGGAATAATAAACAGTATCAAATATGCAATTTAATAACCTACCAGCTTACTTACAAGCCAAATATGTGTCTGGAAGTGGAGACCTCTTTGAAGCAGGTTTTCTTTGTTGTTAAGACGAAGAACCTTGCCCCGTCCTATCCGAGTTCTGGAGGGGCCGGCTTTTAGGGACTTGTAGAGGAAGGGGAGGGGGGTATGCGTGGCTGGGCCATCCAGGGCCCCTGTGGCCTTTTAGGGGACACCCTGCTGAGAGCGGTTGAGAACCGCTGAAATGAAGCCTCTGGTGTCTGTCTTTCTTGCTAGATTGGGTGACCTAAGAGGCTGGAGTTCCAAGTACGTGACACCCCATCCATTTTGCTTCTCACCATGTCCCCAGCGCCTGCCCAGCACTCAGCATTTAGTAGATGCACAACACTGGTGGTTGAATGAATTGACGAATCTGTGTTAATTTTCTTAAGTTAATGGATAAGTTCATTGATAAAAAATGCACGCACACACACACGCACGCACATGCACACGCACACACATATGGATAAAATAGACTCCTGGTTTCTATAGACTGGCCACCTGAGAATTAACTGAGGAGCCCTTCAAGATGTCACGTTCCTGGCTTCCAATCACAGAAAGTTGGGGAACAGCCTGATGGGGTACAGCCTAGGAGTCTATTGTCAAGAGTACTTCATTGGTTTCTCAAAAAACTAAACATAGGGGTACAGAATGAGTCACCCCAAAAGGTGCCTCTATGGTATGTGATGGTTTTGAGCTAAAGGCAATTGAGATGGGCTCATAAGAAACTGCTACTTCTCCCTTAAAGAATTTTAATTAGGGGCTTTGCCCATAATAAGGGTTATTACCACAAAAAAACTTTATGATCTGTCTATAGGGAGGGCAAACTTACAATTATGGCACATCCTGCAACGATCTTCCTCCCCTGTGAAGCCCCAACATGCCTAATCCCATCCTTAGTTAGTTCAGAATGTTGTATACACCTCGTGTTACCTGTCTGTCTCTGAACCTCTCATGTCTGTGAGGTCTTTGACTCTCTTGTATTCGTTGGGTTCCCAAACATATGTATTTAATTAAATTTGGTTATTTTCTCCTGTTGCTCTGTCTCATGCAGATTTTCTTTAACTCTAAGTATTAGAATTAAAGAAAAGCAAACGAACCTTGAATGGAAGAGAAAAATTTCTTCCTGCCCCACACCAGCAATTCCGCTCATAGGCATATACCCAAAAGAATTGGAAGCTGGGACTTACATCCATTGAACACTATTCTCAATAGCCAAAAGGAAGAAGCAACCCAAGTGGATGAATGGATAAACAAAACAGGTCTCTACACACAACTGACTATTATTGAGCTTTAACAATGGAATGAACTCTGACACGCTACAACATAGATAAACCTTGAGGACATTATGTGAAGTGGAATAAACCAGTCACAGAAGGACACATATTGTATGATTACATTTATATGTGGTCCTTAGTGTAGTCAAATTCGTAGAGGTAGGAAACAGAATGGAGGTTGCCAGGGGTGGGTGGAAGGAATGGTGAGTTGCTTGATGGGTATAGAGTTCAGTTTACCTAAAAATGGTTAAGAGGATCGATTTTGTGTGGTGTATATTTTACCACACACAAAAAAAGCACTTCATCCCGGGTCTGGGAATGACGAGGGTGGGAATGGGGGGAGTGGAAGGGATATGGAATGCTGATGCTGATGGCCTTTTGAGGCTTTGCAGCCTGTGAGTGGCTGAGACGGCAGCATTGGCTTTGCAAGCCTTCTCCTTGGGGGCTGCACATCCTGACCTCTGCCCCCCAGGAGGCTGGGCAAGCTCCTGAGTGGAGGCCACAGGGCCTGTCCACAGGGCAGCTGCTGCCCACCTCCAGCTGCTGGGTTATGGGGTGAAGTCTGAATTGGATTTGTATGCGAAATCTCCTAAGGTTTAGCTCTTGACTGTTGGTCCAGTGAATGGGCAAACCACACCATGTGGGTCAAACAGAAAGTCTGCAGCCTTGGGTCTGGGATGGCGTCTATTTCTTGGAGCTCATAGTCTCGGGCCACAGCGAGGGAGATTCCCTCCCAGGTCCTCTTACAGGTGCTGTGTTACTTCTGAGGTCTGACACCAGACTTCTCTGATCTCTTAGAAGTACTCGTGCTTTCAGTGCACCTGGAGGGAGAGTGTCTAAAGGGTGGGGGTGAGTGCCTGGGGTCTGCATTCTGCTCAGGCTGGGGACCTGGCTCCGCCATTAGTGAGTTGTGAGGTTGTAGGCCTCCCCCCCCACCCCCCGCTTGTTTCCTTGTCTGTCCCATGGGAATAGTAATAGTTTCACCAACATCAACTGACATCTGTCCTCCATCTCTGCAGGGGGCGGAGGAAAACGCAAAGGGAAAAGCAAGAAGTGGAAGGAAATCCTGAAGTTCCCTCACATCAGCCAGTGTGAAGACCTCCGGAGGACCATAGGTGAGTGTCCGGCCTCGAGGGAGCGTGGGGAGGAGCTGAGGGGGGGGTGCGCAAGGGGCTGTTCACCCCCACATGGCAGGTCGGACACAAACCAACCAACGCCATGATGCCAGGCAGGGCTCCGGGCCGGCGTCCTTGCTGATTGACGTAAAGATGCAGCGACGTTTATTGAGTATTCGGTGGGTGCTGGGCAGATTGCCTCTGTTACCCTTTGAGGCAGGTACTGTTATTCTACTCCCCCTTTCAGATGGGAACACCGAGGCGCAGAGGGTTGTGTAACTGGATGGGGGTGACACAGCCTGAGGGAGAATGGCGGAGGGGACCAGGCCCAGCATTGAGCCCCGAAATGTAACAGTTCCCTTCCTTGGGGGTCCTGCCTTTGGGAAACGACCCCAGGCTTTTGGGAGCCAAGACTGAGGTGAGCATCTGCTCTTCCCTCTCCTCTTGTGGGGATGTCAGTGCTCATGGAGGGGCCACCCTGCTCAGTGGCACAGCTCCCACCTGGTCAGGTACCTCCCACAGACACACTGTCCCCCCCCTTCTAGTCAACCTGGCCCTGCCCTCATCACTTCCGCTTTGGGGGACGCTGGGAGCATAGGATTCACCTCAGCTCTTCTCTGCCCATGGACCCCACCCCAGGGGTCCTTCCAGGTCCATGGACGTCCTCTTGGCAGGACCCACTCCCCCGGGAAGGTGTGAGACACGTGTGTGCTGGCGTGGGGACGTGAATTCTCCGTTCTCCTAGAGCAGTGTTTCCCAAACTTTTGACATATGTGTACCCCTTCTATAATTTTTGTAACGCTGAGTGCCCCTCGTTCTCATGAGAACGTAGAATTAGGCGCAGCTAAGCACGGTGCAGTGCATATCCCCACCAAACTCCGGTGCAACGCGTACCCCCACCAGACTCTTCCCGTGCCCCTGGGGGTGCGCGTACCACACTTTGGGAAACCCTGTCCTAGAGGATATAGAAAAGACTCTGTGTGAGTGCAGAGTGAGGGGACCGGGGAAACACAGGAAGGCCGCCGCAAACCGGGGCTAAGCCGTGGCCCGGGCCCCAGCGCGGGGCCTGCCGCCTGTTTACAGTCCGTCGCCCCGGTGTTTGCCCAGCTCTGCTGGGGTCCTGTTGGAAGGCTCTCTCAGTAAAAACCTCACTGCTCCTCTGGACCAGGACACAAAGCAAACAGCGGCGAGAGCCGCGTTTATTTTCCTTGTGGAGCCATGAGCTCCCTTTCCGAAGCCCTTGGGGAGGACAGCCCAGGACAGGCTCGGGCTGAGGTGAAAGGGCGTTTGGGCCCAGAGGGCAGCATGGGGTGGTGCGGGGGAAGGCTCTTGATCGAGCCCATTTTGATCAGAGCCCAGTGGACATGCAGAGCCCATGGGGACCCAGGGATCAGAGGGACGCTGCCCCCTCTGGATTGCCCAGAACGGTGGCCCGGGAGGCCATGCCCGCCTTGTCCCTGCCCTGCCCTGCGCAGCCACAGGCCACTCCTTTCCAGTGACTCTGGAAAATGAAAACTGAGTCCCCTGCCGCAACCTCTGCAGAGTCCTCCATCCCACCCGGAATAAACCCAGACCCCCGCCCGGAATAAACCCAGACCCCCGCCCGGAATAAACCCAGACCACCCCCACCCGTGGCTTCCTTCCTCTCTGTAAAAAAATAAAATAAAATCAATATATATATATATATATATATATATATATATATATATATATATCGAATATATATATGTGTGTGTGTGTGTGTATATATATATATATATATATATATATATATATATATATATAGTCTTTCTTAAAAAACAAAAAGTAGGTTGTAGGTGCATTTTTTTATTCAACAAGTGTTTACTGAGCAGTTATTATGTGCCCCTGGAGTTCATGCATGGCTTTGCCCAGGAGACAGAGGGGGAACAAGCAGAGATAACAAGCTAAGAAAGTTGTGTGATGGAGAAGCAGGTTGCTGAGCTGGGGCAAAGTATCAAGGGTCTGTACCCATCAGGAACATGACCATCCCTGGAGGAGGTGGCATCACGCTGAGCTTCCCAGGGCATCCGTCTGTGTGAGCTCCCTGCGGGCATGGACCACGTCCTGTCCATCTTGGAGTCTCTGTTGCTGGCACAGTGAGTGGGTGGGTTGATAAAGTAGCGGCATGGATGTTGCTCTCCTCCCAGCCCAGACACTGTAATTGGCAGCGATGAGTATCAAGATAGAAATTCCTGCCACACATCTGTGAGCCCCAGACGTGAGTAACTGATCTTAGGCAGCCGTGGCAGAGGGCAGCCGGGCCATGAGAGGAGGAAAGGGCTCTTAATGAAACACCCAACCGTGACATTGCTAATCAGCTAATTGTTCTCACAGGGGTCCTCAAACTTTTTAAAGTGGGGGCCAGATCACGGTCCCTCAGAGAGCTGGAGGGCCGGACTATATGAACTACTAATTCCTACTGTAACACCTCGGCTGCGCTCACTGCCCAAAAAACCTGGCGGGCCGGATCAGACTCCTCTGCGGGCCGCATGTGGCCCGAGGGCCGTAGTTTGAAGACGCCTGAATGAGAAAGGCGCAAATCAAAGGCGTTCTCAGAACTTCCAAAACTTGGAAGGCGAGGGCGTCATTGTGAAGATAAAAGATTGTTGAGGTCTGCAAATATTTCTCAGTGACGCAGAAAGCTCTGCTGGGGAAAAGTGCGGCATTTTTATTTATTTAGCTCAGGCTCATTGCGTACTTTATTCTTTCATTAAAAAAAAAAAAACACGCATGAGGGGGCTTGAGTGAAAGAGCTGATTATTCCGCTGTTTGGCAATATTTCTGTAGGAACTGTCCAAAAGCTATATCGTAAATCAAGGCCCCCTCGGCGCCCCCTGGCGAGACTGACGTTTATGAGGAGGCTGGTAGCAGAAACGAGCTGCTGTGGTGCCCGGTGCCCCCACAGACCCCCGGGCCCGGGGACGTTCCGTTCGCCTGGTGGTAGAGCCTCCGGCCAAAGCCTTAACCCTCCGCGGGAGCAGGGACTCTGAGCTGCGAACCTTAGCCTTAAAGAACAACACCACAATAATGGGAAGCCTGCCTTGAACTGGCCTCGGACCTGATAATTCACTCCCCCAGCTTTTGCGTGTGTTCCTTTGCACGTGAGGCGCCCAGTCGCCCGTGACTGACGCTCTGCTTTCCGTCTGGAAGACAAAGCAGGCTGAGGGCTTAACGTGTTAAACCAGAAACCGGCCTACGGATATCTGTCGAGCCCCTGCTGTGTGCTCGGCATTGGTGCAGGCGCAGAGCTGGGCTGCAGGCCGCAGAAGCGGGCAGTCTCGGGGACGGACTCGGTCACAGGCCCTAAGGTCCGATGGTGGCTCCACTGCTCCCAGCCGAGTGATGGTGGGCGAGTGGTTTAATTTCTCCAGGTTGCGGTTTCTCTGTCTCTAAAATGGCGACACTAATGCCAAGCTGGTAGAGCCGGTGGGAGGGCTGGCAGAGTGCCTCGCATATGCCATCACGTCGTGGTCATCATCATTGTTGTCATCATCAATGTGGTTCCAGTGGCCTGAGGGCAGAGGTAGAAGGCCCTTTCGGAGGGCCTTAGAGGTTCCTCAAGAAGCTGACTTGGCCCTAGCCAGTTTGGCTCAGTGGGTAGAGTGTCGGCCTAAAGACTGAAAGGTCTCAGGTTTGATTCCAGTCAAGGATACATGCCCGGGTTTCGGGCTCCATCCCAGTGGGCTGCATGCAGGAGGCAGCCGATCAATGATTCTCTCTCATCATTGATGTTTCTATCTCTCCCTCCCTCTCTGAAATCAATTACAAATATAATTAAAAAAAAAAAAGAAAAGAAGCTGAATTGACTATAGGAATGAATGAAGCTAGCCGTTTCTATGCTGACACCACATGGGTCCAGTGTCCCAGCAACCCTTGCCTTGGGGGCATTGGAATCCTACCCTTTCTTAAGTCCCTGCCTCCAGTCTCTTCCTCCTGGAGGCCCGCCCGGAGAGATTCCTCCTGGAACCACAGCATGCCCGGGGAAGCCGAGCGCCACTCTCTGCCCAGCCCCCTGGCCTGGCGGGAGGGTTTCTTTGCAGGGACATGTGATTGTTTTGGAAAGTTATACCCCTAACAGGGAAGGCATGGAGGTTTGCTTTCTCTGTAAAGTGGTATTTTAAAGGGACAGTGAGTGGGCATCTTATTCGTGCCATTAAAAGCTGAATGAATAACGACCAGACCTGCTGTCTGATGCCACGGCGGGGCAATGGGGACAGTGACGCCTGTCCCTCTTCCCTGGGCGTTTGGTCTCCTGATGAGTCTGTGGACTCCGGAGGATGGTCGGAGCCTCACCGCTGTTGCACACCCTGAGGGACAGAGGAGTCCCGCAAGTGGGATCTCAGGGCCTCTGTCCTGCGAGGCTTTGGAGGGAAGCCCAGGCCTGGATGAGCTCAGTCTGACCCGGGACCCCATCTCTGGGGTGTCCAGCCTCCTTGTAGGTGCTCAACTCTGCAGTCCGATCAGCAGCGGCCCCTTCCCGCAGTCCACGTGGTCCCTGCCCGCACAGCCTCGGTGTCACTGAGTGGAATGGGGGCTCGGGTCCTCTCCCGGGGATGCAGCAGGGGCTGGGCTATGAGACACCTTCCCTTTCTGCTCACTCCTGCCCACGGGCTCCTGGCCCCTGGGGTCGCCAGGCACACGGCAGGGTCTGGAGAGGATTCCGGGCTCCTGGGACCAGTCCCGCCTCCCCCAGGGGGGCCAGAGTGACCCCGTGCCCTTCAGGCTGCCAGGGTGGCATCGAGCTCTGGATCTCGTCGTCAGGGAGACGTCATCCTCGTCCTTGGGGTGATAAGGGCGTGTCACGTCTGTCGTTCAGCCACTTACGGTTCCCTGATAAGGCCCCCATCTGCTCGTCCTTGGAGGGCGAGATAAATTTAGATGTGGCGGATTTAGAACATCAGGTGACCTGTTCGCAGCTGTAGCTCTCGGGAGCGGGAGCAGCCTGGCTTGTCTGCCCGCTGTTTTCCAGACGTTGCTCT